TCTCTCTCTCTCTCTCTCTCTCTCTCTCTCTCTCTCTCTCTCTCTCTCTCTCTCTCTCTCTCTCTCTCTTGTGACCTCTTACCGCTCACACTCACTACCTGAATAGACTCGCCTTTCTCTCTCCCACTGCCCCCCGTGGCTATGGCGGACTTCTCCCCCCCGCTCGATCCTAGCTATGGCTCCGATTGTCTTCCTCCTCCTTTGTTCACCTCCGACTGCCCAACCCATTGGTCCCACAAGCACTAAAGCAGAGCTTCCGCGACATGTGAATTGACTAGTGACCCGATGAAGCACTGTAGTGGTGGATATAAATAGCAGTTTGCCAATTCTGGAATCGTTGTCGGCTCCGGACTGGTACTGGTCGATGTGGCCTGTTGGATGCAGTTTGCCAATTCTGGAACTTCCTTGATGCCGCTGTAATTTTGGACTTTTGGGCCTGTGGACTTTCCTTGTCGGGTACTGGGGCCTGTGACTTTTTTCTTTTTTTCTTTTTTTTAATGAAACACTGAAACAGGTCCTTATGGCCCCGGCTCCATTTCCATTCTGGGGAGCATCAGTCCGGTTCCTATTCCACCGGCAAGTCAGAATGAAACATTACATCATGAAACCCACTCAGCCTTCCTTCCATCCGGCGGAAGGATCCCTGACCAGCATTGATTACTCCAACTTCGTGGAGGATTGACTGTCAGCTTGCCTTACTTCCTCCTTTCCTCTCAGTTCTACTGTATGAACCTGTCAGATAAATGATAAAAAGCAAGAAAGGTAAAAGAAGCCACGGAGGATGCAATATCGGAATTCGCCCTCCAACGTTATGTGTCCTGTGATGGAACTAGTCCTTCTGCTGGCTGGGAACTGTGCCTTCTCCTCCCTGCTTCTGAGTTGTGCCAGTCTTTCCACCGTATGCGAGAGTCAATCATCCCTGCCACTTTGCCCCTTGCAAGCCACACCTTAGTGAAATTTGCCTTGATTTTTTTCTGTTCTTCTTCGTCATCTGGCATGGATAGTCTTATCTTATGCCACTTGCAAAGAATCTCCGCCTGAATCAGGGTCCTTGTCTCCGCCCATACCTTCTCCCTTGGAGTTGAGAGTCCCTCAATGGTTCTCCAGCACCTTTCCTTCCAGATGGACCAAAGCGTTGTCTTTCTGATCATTCCAAACCACAGTTTCTCTGTCTTGTGGAATTGAGCTGGGATGTTAGTCCATGGAAGGAGTTGGATGGGATGTTCAGGGAGGGGAATCGAGAAGAGGGAGTCCCAGAGCTCCGAGGCTCTCGCCCACCGTCGCCTCTCTACAGCGTATCAGGCAATGTAGCATATCTTCTGGTTCATTTTCTGAACATACCGCGCATAAATCTGAACGGTTAGGGTCGTTCTTACTTCTTCTGATATGCAGCCACTGGTTAACCGGAAGAGCTACATATGAGATGAGCCATTGGAGGCTTCTGATTTTCACCGGGCAGATTCGACTTGAATTTCTTCCATGGTATTTGTGGGATCTGACTAGCATCTTGACCTATTAACTTCTGCCATCTGTTCTTGATCGTTGGGTCAGGATCCTTTGTTTTGAGGAGTAAGTTGTACCCCAGTTTTACTGTGTATTCCTGAATGGGGACATTCATTTTGAGGCTTCTGCTTCCGTGTGGTGTCCAAGCCCAATCAGCTGGATCTAATTCCAAGTCTTGAATCGCCGTATCTGTTCTGAAGATTGTTTTTGGCCATGATACCAACACTCTTACTTTTCTGAGCGCAAAAGGGTTTAGAACTGTTCTTTCCACCTCTTGATTCAGGATAGATGGAAGGCCTTGCGTAGAGGGGGTAATTGGGAAAGAAGTAAACACTGCCAGGGTATCCGATCCTTGCTGTTTATGGGAGAATTGATAGGCCCTTGATGGGGTTAAATCCTGTACCCTCACTCCCAATTCACCCGATTTCCAGGTTGAGACTTCACTCAAGAATTCCTTCCAGCCTTCTGGGATGCAGTTGATAATGGATTGTAGATTCTCGTCTCGTCGGTGACAGCCTTTGAGCTGGGTGGCAAGTTCCTTTTTTTTTTTCTTTTTTTCTTTTTTTAAAACAGAACCTCACAGTTCTGGCTCCTACCATTCTGGGGAGCGACAGTCCGGTTCCTATTCCCCCGGCAAGTCAAAATGGAATACATAAAAGACTCACACGCTCTCCTCCCCGTTATGGCTGAGAGGCCCGAGTGGGCGGCATTGATTACTTCCCCAAGGAAGGATATACCACCTCTCACCCCTGCCTAATCTAGCCTGTACTAACTCTGCCTGCCTATCTGTCTGATCCCAGATCTGCTCCTCTCAGCTATAAAGCCGTCGGATAGCTATGAATATGCAAGAGCATTCTGGAACACTTATGCGCCCTTTGAAACCTCTATAACTCTCCAACAGCCTTTGCCTAGTTCCTGTTCTGTCACTCAGTCCTTTTTCTCCTCATTCCACAGATGGCTCACTTTCCAAACACCATGTTTGATCCAAGATAGCCATCTCCTTCCTCTAGGCTTAAGGGATAGTTGGTGATCACTTTCGTCTCTCGCCCATGGATTACCAAACAGAGGTTGCCTCTCAGTACCTCGTCTTTGGATTTGGGCTTACCCACCTTCTTCGAAATGACTTCCCGCCATATCCGTAGCAATGCAGTCCAATATGGTGTAGGGGGCCTGGCTTCGCTTGGACCGGTTCCTCTTCGTTGATTTCTGCGCCCTGTACTTGGACTCCATTCCTTGGCCATTACCCAGAACAGACCGGACATGTTTGCTGGTGTGGCTATGGGTGCTAGGCCCCTGATGCTATCCAATGCCAGTTTATTCCATGCCGTACCAGGTTTAGTCAGTAGTTTGATTATCCATTTAACTTGTAAGGCTTTGATTTCCGGTTTGGGGTCTATGATACCAAGACCTCCTTTGGCTGGTTTCCTTGTGATGTAGTGCCGAGCTATCTTTGGTATGCAGTTGTCTTTGTTGGGGTCGCCCGACCACAAGTATGCCCTTGCTTTACGGTTAAGTTCCTTGATTGTATGGTCCGGAACTGTCCAGATTGATGCTATATACCACATCATTGAGAAAATAGATGTATTGATAGCTAGTGCACGGCCCAGCAATGATGTGAATGTGTTACCCCATCTACCCAGTTTGTTAACGTGTGTTTGCCAGTATATTTTGGGCCATCTGAGGGGCAAAGCCGTCCTTTGTCAGCAAGATGCCTAGATATCGTGTAGGGGTCTCCGGTGTCTCCCATGTCATGCCTGCCTCGGGGCCTTGAAGTTGGGGAGCCTCTTCCTCCGATAGCCACCAGCCAATTGTTTTCTTCCAATTAATCTTCATTTCTAATGCCAGTCTGAACGCTTCCATTGCTTTTACTAACGCACTGAACGACGAGTCCGAAGCTCTTATGAGAACCGTGAGATCGTCTGCAAACATTATGACCTTCGGGAACTGTAGGTGGTGGGCTGTTCCTACATTGACCTCTGGTAGTCTGTGTATGGAGGGGTCTTTGTGTAGGAATGAGGCTATTCAATTTGCTTCGATCACGAAGAGGAAGATTGGGGGAGCTAGTGGGTCCCCTTGGCGAACTGACAGCTCTTATGAGAACCGTGAGATCGTCTGCAAACATTATGACCTTCGGGAACTGTAGGTGGTGGGCTGTTCCTAAATTGACCTCTGGTAGTCTGTGTATGGAGGGGTCTTTGTGTAGGAATGAGGCTATTCAATTTGCTTCGGTCACGAAGAGGAAGATTGGGGGAGCTAGTGGGTCCCCTTGGCGAACTGACCGAGATATTGGATAACAATCAGAGAGCAGACCATTGACTTGGACGCACCCTATGGCGTCATTATACAGAATGCGCACCCACTTCCTAAAATTCGGACCCACTCCCATCTTCTCCATGCTTGCATTGAGAAAGGCCCAGTTGACCTGGTCATAGGCCTTTTCAAAATCTCAAAAAAAAAGAATTGCTGTGACTTCTAGTGACCTAAATGATCAGACCCTTACAAACCTGCGATGCTTTGGCCTCTAGGCCCTACCGGGCTCCTAGGACCTGGGGCCTGGGACCAACCACAACCAACTAGGACTGGGCCCAGGTGGGACTCTGGGGCCGGGACGTGGGACGTAGACATAGCGTGAAGCCCTTTCAGTCCGATGGATCTCCCAGGAATTGGTATTGAGAGGTAACTCCATTCAGTTTCTTTTATTCCGCTCTCCTCTTTCCAGTAGCACCAGTAGTAGTTGCAAGTCATCCCACTACTCAAGCGGGATGTACAGCCGACGACACAACCCCTACCTCTCTCTCTTCCAGCAACAGTGGCAATGCCACTCTCTCGAGTGAGGCACCTGTCCAGCAGAATCCTAACATGGCCTTCTTGCAGCAGTGCCAACCTTGGGCGTGAATATGAAAGTCCACCACAGCCAAAGGTAAGTATACACTACTGTTCCCTGCTCCCTCCTCCTCCTTCTCCTCCATGTAAACTGAAGCTCTCTACCTTCTACCATAGCCCATGTGGGCCTTTCCTCCCATCACATAGCCTGTCCTCGTTCACTCTCAGAACCACCTCCATAGCCCGGGAGGGCTTCCCCTCCACCTCTAAGCTCCTCTCTCAAGCTTGCGTTTGCTCACGCCTCATCACCGCCAGGGCAGAGTCACAGCATTATGGTTGCAGGGAGTGCATAATGAATCGGCAATCACTTATATACTTGCTGGACTGGTTTGTCCACCAGCCAAGCTCCCTGCAGGTGGGTGACTTCTGCCCCTTCTCTAGGCCTACCACCCCCCAGAACTGGTGGAGACATAATTGCAGACTGTAAACTCCCTGAGATTGGATGTATCCAGAACCTGCACTAGACTACCTCCAAATCTACCAGTCCCTGTTCGTTCTCCGCTTGTCTGTGTCTTACTGCGGCAAAATTTCCCTCCTACCCTTACAGGCCTGCTTTTGGTAATCTAAGAGTTTAAAAGCAACCCTTCCTCCTCATTAGATTGTACTGAAATGTGGTCTTTTTGTCTACGTTATCTTTGTTAATCAGAGTCATTTCCGCCATGCAGAACATGCAAAGGAGGATGCACCTGTGGAGCATGAAATTGAGCGTTTGCAGGTCTTGAACAAGAACCTGACAGTCGACAACAGCAGCCGTACAGATGGCAACAATATGCGAAAGGAGGTCCGTTTATGTCCCTGCCTACGTCATTCCCGCATTCTTGTCTCCTCACAAACTCACATAACCCAGTGCATCCTTTACCGAATTCCAACTTCTGATACTTTTTGTCAGCAACAGGGCCTTTGAGAGTTGACTTCAACAGGGTGCAGCAACACGGGGAGCCAAAGTACTCTGCTGAGATCACCCATCGAGTCATCAGCTGTCAATACCAGCTGATGGAAGTCACCAGGCAGACAGACAGTGGCAGAGACAGAGAGAGACATAGAGAGAGGGACAGAGAAAGAGTGAGGCGGCTGTCACACACCTGCCATCAACGTCGCCCACCACCCTCCCACATTGCACTTCCTTGGCTGCTACCTTGTGCTGCCCACTCCTGCGCCCTAGAAACAGAGCAAGAGGGCGATAGGGGGCCGAAGTGGAAGTCAAAGAAAGAAACGGAGAGAGCTGTCTCTTATACACATCTAGATGTGTATAAGAGACAGGGATATACCACCTCTCACCCCTGCCTAATCTAGCCTGTACTAACTCTGCCTGCCTATCTGTCTGATCCCAGATCTGCTCCTCTCAGCTATAAAGCCGTCGGATAGCTATGAATATGCAAGAGCATTCTGGAACACTTATGCGCCCTTTGAAACCTCTATAACTCTCCAACAGCCTTTGCCTAGTTCCTGTTCTGTCACTCAGTCCTTTTTCTCCTCATTCCACAGATGGCTCACTTTCCAAACACCATGTTTGATCCAAGATAGCCATCTCCTTCCTCTAGGCTTAAGGGATAGTTGGTGATCACTTTCGTCTCTCGCCCATGGATTACCAAACAGAGGTTGCCTCTCAGTACCTCGTCTTTGGATTTGGGCTTACCCACCTTCTTCGAAATGACTTCCCGCCATATCCGTAGCAATGCAGTCCAATATGGTGTAGGGGGCCTGGCTTCGCTTGGACCGGTTCCTCTTCGTTGATTTCTGCGCCC